TATTAACATATATAGCATGTGACTTGCGAAAACCTTATTTTATATAATTTATTGGTATATTTTTTTTTTAGGTGAAAATAATTTATTGGTATATTATGTACAAATATAAAAATTAAATTATAATGTAGTGACGGTATACATTAACGGTGGTGTTGGAAGATAAATAGGACACAAGGGTTCTCAAGTTCGATTGGAAGGCACTGTTTGAAGGGATTGAACAAAATTGGGTCGAAAAAAAAAATCAGTTCAATAATGTAGTTCAATTATATGTAGCATATTATAAATAAGCTCGTGATAAAAAAAAAAGTGGCAACTCAGAAAAGGATATCATGGCAAATGTATATAAAATTGACTCACGAGATGTAGGTGGGAAATTTAATTTTGAGCATGCATGACTATTATTAAGAGATGAGCTAAAATGGAAATCTGAATCAATGGAGAACTCTTTTAAAAGATCAAAGATTTCTAAATTTGGACAATACTTAACGTCTTCTAACAGAGATGCAGCCAATGATTGTTAAGAGTATGACTCAACAACACCAATATCTCGTCCAATAGCTCAAAAAGCAGCGAAGAGAAAAAGTAAAGCAAAGGTCGTCAAAACATTCTCCGAAAAAAAAAAAGAGTTGGATAATATGACAAAAGCAATGTTAGAAAGAAGTGCTGTAGTAAAGAAATTGGTTGAAGTGAAGGAGGCAGCTAACTTTAGTGTAATGTATGAAATTCTCATGAAGGACACATCTAGAATGAATGAGAAGCAACTCAAAGATCATGAATTGACTTGTAATTTTATTAGGCGTAAATTAGGAGAATAAATATTTTGGTAATTTTAATTTACGTAAATTAGACTAGTTTTATTGTAATTAAACTTAATTTGTTGTAATTTTTTATAATTCTTTTATGTAATTTCTTTTATTATGTAATTTTTTTTTGCTTTAATGTCTCGATTAGTCTCAGTTGCTTTAAAAATGTACCCCGATTGCTCTTAAGTATAAATATATTTTGATTTTTGAAGGGAAAGTCATTAATTAAGAGGAAACATATATAGCATGTGACTTGCGAAAACATTATTTTATATAATTTATTTTTTTTGTGAAAATAATTTATTGGTATATGTTATCTACAAATATAAGAATATAATTATAATGTAGTGAGGGTATACATTAACGGTGGCGTTGGAAGATAAATGGGACACAAGGGTTCTCAGGATCGATTGGAAGGCACTGTTTGAACTTTGAAGGGTTGATCCAATGTAATAAACTGAACAAAAGTGGGTCGAAAGTACACGGAGGTACATTACTTGAAGGAAGCCATGAACTTGTTTCTTAATATTCTGTCTACTATGGCATGTACAGTTTTACCTTTTAATGGTTATGAAACCTGTACTAAAAATTGAAGCCCCTCGTTGCCAAGCAGAGGAAAATAGGTAGACGACACAAGTCAACCAAATATTTTTGTTTTACATTTTCTTGGAATGTGTAACCCAAATGACTTTTGTCCATAAGTACAGTTGTAAACGTGTATATATTCCCCGCAATTAATGGGGCATGTTTCATTCAAGTTCATGGAAAAGTTATCATTAATCAAATGCACGCCTCCAGCAATATACTACTCCCTCGTGTAACTCTTTTAAGTTTCAAATTCCAAAGTATTATTTGTATTTTTTTTTAATTAGAATCTATTGATCTAAAATAATAATTATTTTTTATTAATTAATTTCTGATAAGAAACATTCTAAATTAAAGTCATTTTCTTAATTTTAATAATGGTTGCTAGAGTAGCAGTCTTGTATCAATGTTAAGGTAGTTTAGAGAAAAATAGAAATTTAAGACAATTTTAATGTGATTCATTAAATTAGTTAACTTTTTTTTTTTAATATTAGTGAGTTATGTATGTAATTGTATCTTATAAAAGAGGTTGGAGGAAGTACTTCATGTACACACATAATAAATATTGTTCAAGAAAAAGAATTAAATATAATAATGGGTGTTATTTTAAATTTTAAAATTTCAATTTAATAATATTAATTATCTCTTTTTGCTCTAATTTCATAATATTTTTTAAAAATATTGTTCACTTTGATTATGGTGGATTAAAAATCATAATCAATTTTTTTAAGAGTGAGTTGGCGAGAAAATCTTTCCAAAAACAAAAATAAAAATAAAAATAATTTTTTTATAACAATAATCTAAATTTACAAATTATTATTCTAAAGTTAATTAATAACTTATTACGCTTGGTCCAAAAGAAGTTTTTCTTATCTTATTATTTAAAAATACATTACTTATACTCTTATAGTTTAAAATAAAAAGTTATAATATAATTGTTGATTATACATTAACATGCAGCATTCAGGATTCAAAGTAAATTGATATTATAAATTAAATTATATAATCGTCCTTTGTTTTTATTATGTTGTTTTATTTTTTTTTAATGTAAATTAAGTCTGAAAAAATAATAAAATATTTCAAAATACAACTAAAAGTAATAACTTAAAAATTCTAATATAAAATAAAAAATTAAATCTGTATAAATTTATTTTTTGACAAAAACCATAAATTTAAAAAAGAAAAACAATTAAAAATTAAAACAAAGTGAAAACTATAAAATAAAATTAAAAAAAAAAGGTGACATTCAGCCACGCTATACCACAATACGAAAAAAATTTCAAAAACAAATCCAAGTAAAAAATACTATTATTTGTGTATTAAGTAACTTCTCAAAAATTAATTTTCACTCTATTTATTTTCAAGCAAACAACATTTATTTTTGTTCTATTTCTTGCATACTTTTCTTCCCTTCTATTTTTTTTTCTTTCCCTCACTTTATTATTTTCCTCACTCTGAAACACACTGTACACGCTTAAAAAAGGTCTTGCATTACAAAGAAAATCTTAAACTAATAGATTACAGTTTGTAAGTTTATTAAAGTTGAATGCAGATATAGCTCCACTAAAAAAGAATAATAACAAAATAAAGTAAGAAATAAAGCATAAAAAAATTCAAATTTAAAATTTAAGTTGAAGCTCGGAACTCGGCTTCAGAACACGGATAGTACACCATATATGTTTCATATAAAGTATTATTATACTATGCTTTCAGTACAGTACAATTCAAGAAGCGTAATACAGTAGAATATTTCAATCAAATTAACAAATAATTAATAATTAAGTAAAATGGTTTTTTTGGCATGAAAATAAATTTTGATACACACTACATAAGTGTTAAAAAATGTCTGGCTATTTGATGAACGAAAGGCAAAGTAATGAAGTTGCTTGGTTATCGTTATCATAAATAAATAAAGCAATGATTTGGATATGAAAAACATATGAGTGAGGAGAGTAGTCACTTCAGAGTTCAGAGGAAAATATCCGAAATGGAAGCCCTCGAGAGCCGTTCAAATTCTATCTCCAACCGCAAAAAGCATAGAGTTTGTAGATTTTTCAGTAAGATATTTCCCTCCCATCACTCCCTTTCTCGCTTATAAAACCTACAACACTACACTGACAAATATCAAGTCCTAACATATATCACTACTTCCCTTTCTCTCTCCAACAATGGCAGCCATGGCAACCACAACCCTCAAGCTCTCATTCTTCCAGGGAAGGCCCATGACTCCGCGCGTCGCAGCCACCAAACCCATGGCCAGCACCTTCCCACAGGCAACAATATCCATGTCCCTAACACAACCCTCCTACGACCTGCAATCCTTCAACTTCCAACCCATCAAGGAGTCCATCGTCTCCCGCGAAATGACGCGCCGCTACATGACGGACATGATAACCTACGCCGACACGGACGTGGTGATCGTGGGGGCGGGCTCCGCCGGCCTCTCCTGCGCCTACGAGCTGAGCAAGAACCCGGCCGTCCGCGTGGCCATAATCGAGCAGTCGGTGAGCCCCGGCGGCGGCGCCTGGCTGGGCGGGCAGCTCTTCTCCGCCATGGTGGTGCGGAAGCCGGCGCACCTCTTCCTGGACGAGCTGGGCGTGGCCTACGACGAGCAAGAGGACTACGTGGTGATCAAGCACGCGGCGCTCTTCACCTCCACCATCATGAGCAGGGTCCTGGCCAGGCCCAACGTGAAGCTCTTCAACGCCGTGGCGGCGGAGGACTTGATCGTGAAGGAGGGGAGGGTCGCCGGAGTGGTCACGAACTGGGCCCTGGTGTCCTTGAACCACGACACCCAGTCCTGCATGGACCCCAACGTCATGGAGGCTAAGGTTGTGGTAAGCTCTTGCGGACACGACGGGCCTTTTGGCGCCACCGGGGTTAAGAGGCTCAAGAGTATTGGCATGATTGATAGCGTTCCCGGAATGAAGGCCCTCGATATGAACACTGCTGAGGACGCTATTGTCAGACTCACTAGAGAGATTGTGCCCGGCATGATTGTCACCGGCATGGAGGTTGCAGAAATTGATGGTGCCCCTAGGATGGTATATATAATTAATATAACTATTTCATTCTTATTCTTATTCTTAAATTAAGTGCTGTATGTTTGTGTTTGGTTATAATGTTATATGGATCGGTGTTGATGATTTTGTGGGTGATTTCTGCAGGGACCCACGTTTGGGGCGATGATGATATCGGGGCAGAAGGCGGCTCATTTGGCGTTGAAGGCGTTGGGGAGGAACAATGCCATTGATGGCACGTGTGGAGCTGCAAGGGAAGAACCAGAGCTTATTTTCGCCTCTGCGGATACTGAGGAAATTGTCGACGCTTGAACGTTACTACTATTAGATATATAGCTTTTCTTTTCTCTGTTTTGCCTTGGCTATTATGATTTGAATTTTGGAATGAATAAACAAAACAAACATGTGAATGATGAAGTGATCAAGAGACAACACCTGTTGTTAAATCTTTGTGTTTACAGGAACAAATGGAACAGGTGCCACCTATTAATATTAGAGGAAATAAGTTATCAAGGATATGATTATAATTAATTTGATTTAGGAGATACTTTTATTAGTCTTTAACTTTCCAAGGTGTAAAAAAGCTCTCCACTAGAAAATACTTCAATGAAAAATATATACCAATGGCAAGTGAATTTAACACGAAATCAAGCTATCTAGACAAATAGGGCAAAAATTTTAAAATAAGCTAATTAAGATTAAAAGTTAATTTATATTACAAATAAGAATTTTGTTTTGTTACAACTAACATGTTTATGAGAAAAGATGGATTTATATTTCTATAAAACGTAAATATTTTGCACTAATTCTATTATTAAAAAATATATTTTTAAGAGATATATTAAAAAAGAATTTAAAATAAATAATTTTGATTAGATAAAAAGTAGAATCATATTTAAAATATAAATATGGTTAAATTGTACTTTTTGCTATTTATATATTTTTTATTTTTTAGTTCATTATTTTAAAATATAAAGATATTTAATTTTTTATTTTTAAAATACAAAATTTTGGTTCTATCATCAATTTAACATATCTATTAATCATTGAGTATTAACTTGCTCATACTTAAATAAAGACATATAAATAATTAGTTGGAGATTAAAAAAAACTAAAAAAATATATATAAGTAAGATATTTTATAAATAAATATATGTTTGTATGTTATTTTTTAATTTTTAATTCTACGTGTTGCATAATTAAATTTTATAGCCACACTTGATGAACATAAATTAATCTTTGGTTGTTAATTTTAGGACATTGTATAAATCATGTCCATGAATAGAAAAAATGGTGACAAATTATTGAACAACATCAAAATTTAACTTTAAATGAATATCAAATTGAGGAAAGATTAAAATTTTATATTTTTAAAATTAAAAGACATTTAATTTTCTATTTTTAAAATATATAATATTGATTTTATCATCAATTTAACATCTATTAATCAATGAGTATTAACATTTACTCATATTTTAAAAGATGTGAGTCGTGTGATATTTAATAGCATAATATTTAAAAATTAAAAAAAAAAACTAAAGAAACATATAAGTAAGATATTTTATAAATAAAATTTTTTTGTATGTTATTTTTAACTTTTAGTTTTACATTTTACATCATTAAATATTATGTTGATTAGTAGAAGTCACTTGTGAGTGCATATTAATCTTTAGTAGTCAACTTAACATTAAACTAATAAAAGATTAAAATTATATATTTTTAGAATTAAAAATCTAAATATTTCAAATAAAATAGAGAGATTAAAATTGCATATAACTAAAAATATAATAACTAAAAAATTAACTTAATCTATAAATATTAATATATTTTTAAATTTTATATCTAAAAGATTTTTTTAATAAAATTATACAATAAACCTTGAATTCATTTTTTTTATTACGCCGAGCATTTTGCAACCCATTGAATCATAAACTAGTCTTGGTGGCATGGAGAAATCAAACAGAAAATTTTACATTAAATTATTTTCACGGTGTGTAAATGTAAAATGTTTCACCTTTAATTCTTTTATGTATTAAAAATTATGTTATATAAAATTTTAATTACTAAATAAATTTGATGTACTTTTTTATCTTTTGTATCTATGAAAAGTGATTAGTACATTTTCTTTTATATATATGGTATAAAAAAAAGTGACTAGTATACTTTCTTGTATACGGTATCACACAATCGGTACAATATTTTTTTAAAATATGTTTTTAATTTTTAAATTTTAACATAAATATATTTTTAATTACCAAAATTTAAAATTAGTTTTTTTAGTTCTTGTAATTCTTTTGAAAAATATTTTAGTCTTTATACTCAAATTTTATTAAAAAATATGTCAAATATTGTTACATAAATTTTTTCTATTAATATACATGTTAATGAAAACATCACATTAAATCCAACTGATACTACATGTATATTTCAATATGTTATTTTTAGATATGTTATTAGTAACATGAAGGATTAAAATAAATTTTTAAAAATTAGAGAAACTAAAAAAAAAATTAATTTACCTTAAATTTAAGAAATTAAAAATATATTTAATTTTTTCATATAATAGAGAATAATATCTCATTCAAATGAAAAATTATAAAGACATCCAAATGAAGAATTATTAATGTCGTGAAAATAGATCTAAGTCATTTTTTTTTTGTGTCTTTGTTGACAAGTGGTGAATTTTATTTATGAGCGAAAAAAATCTAACATTATTAAAATATATATAACATTAATAATTTAAAATTTTCCGAAAATGAAGTTAAGAAATATGTGAAACTTTTGAAATAGTGTATTTTAATTTATTATATATGTGTGAAATTAATTATATTTGTAAGCTAGCAAAGAATAAGCTTTAATTTAAAAATTAAATTAAAAATATATGAACATAATATTTAAGAAAAATATATATAGAAAAAATGAAAGTGGTAGTTTTCAAAATAATTTAGAACCCGGAAGGGAAACATGCATTAGGGAAAAAACAACTTAAAATAATTGGTAATTTAAGATTTTTTTAATAAAAATACATTAAATTATGAGGAAAATTCAAATAAATGAAAAATATTTAAAAATGATAAAAAAAAACTTACAATTTGATAATAAAATACAAAATAAAAATTAATAGTTTAAACTACAATAAAATATACACACTTGTGTCAAATAGTTAAAAAAAATCAAATTCTTTAACAAATTTTTTAAGACAAATATTTAATATTTAAAATATATATTTAAATTTAATTAAACGAGTTAAGTCACTTAAACTTACTTAAAGGAGTGTAAAAAAACAATTCTCAAAGATGTAAAAAAAAACACATTTGAAGAAGTCAATCTCTCTTAATATTTGTTATTTATAAAATTTAATTTCAAGACATTAATAAAATAAAATCAAATTATTTATCATTTCCATCGTCAAGGAAATTAACTTCTAATTATTTTACTCTAGAAAAATAAAACTCAACTTTTTTTTATCAATTTGTTTTAATTAAAACAAATAATTTACATTAAAATAAAAATAAAAATATTTTAGCAATTAATTATAACAACTTGTCAATGGTCCATACACTTAATGACATGACTATTAATAACAAAAATAAAATAAAGAATAACCTATAGATAACATCAAGTAATTAATAATACCCAACAAATAATACATACAAATATATATACAACTGAACCAAAACAAGTCATATAAGCTTTATACATAATGGCTCTAACTAAGTTTATGGAATTGAAGAAGCAAATAGATAAACTATTGGATAAACAAATGGTAAGATCAAGTGTGTCACTATAGGGTGCTCCTACTTTATTAGTGAAAAAGAAAGATAGAGGAATTCGATTGTGTGTTGATTATAAACAATTGAACAAGTTGACTATTAAGAACAAATATTCATCCCCTAAGATAAATGACTTGATGGACCAACTTAAAGGAATATTGGTGTTTTCTAGATTAATTTGAGGTCAATATATCACCAAATTAGGGCAAAAGAGAGTGACATACTAAAGACCACTTTTAGGACGAGACATGGTCACTACGAGTATATTGTGATGTCTTTAAGAGTGACCAATGCCCCTACAACGTTTCATGAATTATATGAACAAGATCTCAGACCATTATTAGATAAATTTGTGGTGGTGTTTATAAATGACATCCTTATTATTCACAATCTTTGGAGAAACATGGAGAGCACTTGAAAGTGGTGTTGGAAGTGTTGAAGGAAAAATAGTTGTATGTCAAATTGTTTAAGTGTGACTTTTGGCTTTAGGAGGTGGAGTTATTGAGTTGTGTTATTTCAATAGAGGGGGGTTGCATTGGATTTAGCTATGGTGGAGTTAGTGTTACAGTGGGAACACCAATGAACTGTAATAGATATTCAGAGCTTTATGGGTTTAACGAGCTACTATAGGTGGTTCATTAAGAGATTCTTCAAGATAGTGATGCCCTTAATCCAATTGACTATAAAAGATCAATCTTTTATCTGGATGGACGCATGTGAGCAATACTTTGCAAAGTTGAAGAAGAGGTTGACCACTTCTCTTGTGATGGTATTGCCCAATCTTGGTGAACCATTTGAGGTGTATTATGATGTTTCTCACTAAGGACTAAGTTGTGTGTTGATGCAAAATAGGAGAGTGGTGATATATGCTTCAAGGCAATTGAAGATTCGTGAGAGAAATTACCTCACTCATGACTTAGAGTTGGCATAAGTGGTTTTTGCCTTAAAGATACAGAGACGTTATTTGTATAGTGCTAAGTTCAATGTCTTTAGTTATCACAAAAGTTTGAAGTATTTGTTTGATCAAAAGAAGCTTAACAAGAGATAAAGGCGATGAATAATTTTTTTTTGAAGGATTATGATTTTCAACTAATGTATTGCCTATGAAAGGCCAATGCAATGGTGGATGCCCTAAGTTAGAATTTTATTCATATGTCTGCTATAGTGAAAGAGCTAAAGTTAGTGGAAAAGTTTAAAAATATGAATATGTGTGTAGAGTTGACTTAGTATCACATTAGTTGTAGAATGTTGTCATATCTAGTGGGTTTTTGAAATAGGTGGAAGCAAAACAATTGCAAGATTTGAAGTTGTTCAAGATCTTGGATTTGTTGGCTACAGAGAAAGCAGTTGACTTTAAGTTGGATAGTGTTGAGATTTTGAGGTTTAAAGACAATATTTGTGTACTTCAAGATTCTGAGTTGAGAATAACGATTTTGGAGGAAGGTCACAAAAATATATCTAACATACATCCAGACATAACTAAGATGTACCAAGACTTTAAAAACATTTTCTGCTAGTGGTTTAGTATGAAGAAAGAAGTAGCATATATGTGCCAGCCAAATGCAGAATACGAATCAACCACTCCTTCACTTGAAATTCAGCAAATCCAACATGTAATAGCAAAAACAACATTTACACATAATACATAACTTTTTTATAGTTACAAAAATAACAAACAACAGCAATTTGATATGAATCATCTAATTCCCTCCGACATGCTTCACAATCTCAAAACCTTTCATCTATCATTTCTCATTTTCAACAATTCATAGCAACCATTCAGAAGTTAAATTCAAAGGCCAAATCCAAGTGGTAACAACACAAACAACAAAATCAATAGTTTCCCCTACCTCGTAATCAAAGTGAAATAGGGAAGAGAGAAAGAAGAACTCTAAACAATTTCGAAACACCTGCACGGATCCACAACAATACAATTCAAGTTCCTAGTGACTCGAATCAACAACAATACAACATAAATGAGGCTTTCGGGGGAAGGATTACTCTTATAAGAGGAAAGTTGGAGATGAAGAGAGCTTCCGATTCCAAAACTATCTCTATTGTTAATCTCTATAGATTTCTAAAGGCTTGAACTTGTAAAACTAAATTAAAAAAAATATGAATTTTTTTTAAAATCAAATTGAATCTCTATCCGAGAAAAAGCTCAAACTATTAAAACTTGCAAAAAAAAAAAAAAAATAAATTTTTTTAAAAAAAAAATTAAATCTCTATCCGAGAAAAAGCTCAAACTATAAAAACTTGCAAAAAAAAAAAAAAAATAAATTTTTTTAAAAAAAAAATTAAATCTCTATCCGAGAAAAAGCTCAAACTATAAAAACTTGCAAAAAAAAAAAAAAAATTTGGATTCCATAAATTTTTAACGCATCAGCATGTAATAAATCGAAAATAACAACAAATTAAGACTCACATACATTAATAAAAAGTAAAAGATTAAATTTAAGTTTTAACAAATTTATAATTATGTACAATATTTTATGTTTAATTTATTATGATAATGAACATAATGCAATCACTTTTTCTAATCAACATCGGGTTTTTTTTTAGTGAATCATTTATTTATATATTTCGGTAATTATTTATTTGTATTATAGGAGGGTGAATAAACTTCGAGAAATATAAATCTAACGAAACATTTGTCCCGTGGAAATTGGGGTTTATTGGAGGAGTGGTTTGTGAAAGACTGAAAGTCTTCTCTTCTCTTCTCTGCTTTGAAACCCTTCCCATCGCAATGTCTCCCTTCTCGAAGCTCTCATTGTTGATACTCATGGTGGCCGTCTCCTCCGCGAAGGCCTCCGACAGCGACGAAAGAGTGAGCGAATTGCTAGCCCTTCAATCCAGATCCAAATCGGGTGTTATCCGCCTCAACGACCAATCCCTGGCCCGCTTCGTCACCTCCGTCAAAACCCCCAGACCCTACTCCGTCCTCCTCTTCTTCGACGCCGCACAGCTCCACGACAAGTCGGAGCTCCGCCTCACTGAACTCCGCAACGAATTCTCCATCGTCGCATCCTCATTCCTCGCCAACAACCCCTCCAACGCCAAGCTCTTCTTCTGCGACATCGAGTTCAAGGAGTCCCAGCTCAGCTTCTCCCAATTCGGCGTCAACGCCCTCCCCCACATCCGCCTAATTGGGCCCAACATGGGCCTCAAGGACTCCGAGCCCATGGACCAGGGCGACTTCTCCCGCCTCGCCGAGTCCATGGCCGAATTCGTCGAATCCAGGACCAAACTCTCCGTCGGCCCAATCCACCGCCCCCCGCTCTTCTCGCGCAACCAGTTGATCCTCATCGCCGTCGTCATCCTAGTTTGGATCCCCTTTTTCGTCAAGAAGGTTCTCGCCGGCCAGACCCTGCTCCACGACCCTAAGGTCTGGTTGGCCGGTTCGGTTTTCGTTTATTTCTTCAGCGTCTCCGGGGCCATGCACAATATCATCAGGAAGATGCCCATGTTTCTCGTGGATCGCAACGACCCTTCCAGACTCGTGTTTTTCTACCAGGGCTCCGGTATGCAGCTCGGTGCTGAGGGCTTTGCTGTGGGCTTCTTGTACACCGTCGTGGGCCTGCTCCTGGCGTTTCTGAGCCACGGGCTCGTTAGAATTAGTAATGTGAGAGTGCAGAGGGTGGTTATGATTTTCGCGCTTTTAGTTTCGTTCTTGGCTGTGAAGCAGGTTGTTTACTTGGATAACTGGAAGACCGGTTACGGGATCCATGGGTTTTGGCCCTCTAGCTGGAATTGAGGTTTGATGACACTCTCACTTCATAATTTTGGGTATCATTCCCATTTTAAAATCTAAACATTAGCGATAATCTCTTCTTGTGTTAGAACTTTGCCGGATATTATATGTAAGTGTAACTTCTTGTCACTGCCCTTTTGTGCCTTTGCTGGAATTTGAGTATTAAAAAGTTTTTATAATCTGCGGAGGACGTTTTGTTTCGACTTGATACGATAAGTGTTGATTGCATGATGCTGCATGACATCTTTCTAAATTTATGCTGCTAAATTCGTTGTTGTATCTCTCTTGTTTAGATAAACTTCTCCATAAGTACATGTTGATGCAGAATATAAAGAGAAGTTAGATGAGTGAACTTCTGCTCAAGTTGAAGTGCACAAGTTAATTTTAATTTACGGGAGAAATTTAATTCATTTTATCTTCTTATTTTCTTCACTTAAAAGTGTTTATGAAGAAGATTATCTAAACAAGACCATGTCTTAAGTTGCGCAATTCCTAATTATGATCTTCAAACTGAATATGTAGACTTATGCTGTTGTGCTGCAAGTGCATGACAGATATAGAGATTAGTCTTTAGGATTTGGCTGGTCTGAAGTACAGGTTTTATCCGTGGATGAGAGAATCAAAGGAGTGGTTTTCATGAATCCATAGATTTCTATCAGGTTGCTTAACTTCAGTAAAATTTGATCTTCTTAACACTTCAGTTCAGAATTTACAACTTGCACTTTGGAGATCTTAATTCTATTTTACCTGATGTAGATTTGACAGAACCAGGTGTTTAAGTAAAACTAAGGTCATGTCCTGGTTTACAAGATTTGTCTTTGTTAGTATCATCGTGCGTTATAATTGGTTGGTTTGTTATTTGATAAGGTCTTTGAGTGATTATAAAATAGAAGCCCCGATTCCCTGTGCTTTATCACGAAGTTTGTAGTTTTATTTATTTATTTATTTATTTATTGTTATTGAGATACTCCTACAGCATGAGTTAAATATGGTCATCTTCCAAAAACCTTTGTAATATTTTTGGTTCTATATTCAAAGTTTCTGTCCACTTTTTACTGTTTTAGGCCTAATATAGTAGATAGCGATAATTTCCGCGGTCATGCTTGCATCCTTTTTGATAACAGATTGTATTGAACAAGGAATACACATTTTCCCCTTCTTCTAATCTGAAAATTCAATTACTATTGAATTTTTTCATTATTTTGTGATGTTTCTTGAAAGGACGGTTGTGTTTAGTGTCAGATAGAATTTTATCTTCATTCCTCTGCTGTATTGTGTTTTAAAGTCTAATGTTTGGTACTCTGATTTTTGCCAGTCGGTTTAATATTTTCACACTTGAGTCTGTCTGGCTTAGTGGGTAGAAAATGGGAAAGGGAAAAATAACAAACAGGTAGGAATTACTTCCAATCAGAGTAAAATAGTTAGATTTCTTTTTCATGCCTTTTCATTTTTTTGTTATACCAAGCATGTGTAAAATGATTTTCATTCCAAGATTTTCACTTCCCCACTTTCAAACTCTCAGACAAGCAAACCCTTAATAACAAGGTAGATGTATACATTTTTTTTTGTTCAATTTCAATAACTGCAAGGTTTCTGCACGTGCAACTTGGCTGAGGGAAAGAAAGACTGGGTAGTAAAATTTCGGTGGTTAGATCTACTGGGATATTCGTGAGCTCTACTTTGATCTCAATCAATATTTAAAGCGATATGGATAGATATTAAATATTGAATTCAAATTTGCCGCAGAAACAAATCCATATATTAACTGCAGTCAGCAAAACAGAGTTGGTAGATGAAATTGGAATCTGATTTGTAATGTTTAGGGTTTAAAGCAAATTGCTCATATTTTGAGTATGGTTTAAATCTGTTTTGTTGAAATTGGAATCATTCGATGTGAATCCAACAGCTCTGATTGCTGACTACAGTGACTGCAGCAAAGCTGTTCTCAATTGATATTCATTTAAATTTTAGACTTATTTGATTCTTGGGTTTGAAAATATATTCTGTTTTGAGTCTTCCGATTATCTGCCCATGCTTTTGTGTTGAATGGTCAACCTGATGTTAGTGTAAGGTGTAATATTCAACAACGATGGAAATCATGGAATATTTTAAGTTTGGACTTATAAATAAAAGTTTTTGAGCATTTTCATGTTTACGGTTGCTGATTGAACCTTCTCCTTTTAACAGTTATGTTGTATTTACGCTGCATTTTACTAGTGATTGAACCTCCCCCTTTTAACATGCAAAGTTATATTTACGCTGCATTTTACTACGTTGTCTTAATGTGGGAACGTAAGTTAAATCTGAAAATGGAAAATGGTACATTCAAATTCAAATCAGCCAGTTTATAGAAAGTGGTTTGATTTTCCTTGTGAAACGGTAAATTACCCAACTTGCTTTGTGTAATTGATTCTCATGATAGTCAATGGAACATAAACTATAGGACAAAACATGGGTGCAATGTCTTGTATCCTTTTGTATTGTTCATCTTTGAGCTTCACCTTGATAACTTGTACAGAATTTTGATGCCGACTGTGTTGATCGAAGATAACAGTAGAATATTGATTAGAGATAATACCAAAAACACTTAAGGTACTATATCTATATTTTATCCAAAAATATGAACGTGTCTTGTCTCTTAATAATGTATTTCAGACTGTAATAGGATCTCCAGTGCTGGAAGACCCACCTATTTCTGCACCGCAGATCATATGATTCATTGTTATCTAAATAGACTCTAAGAGCTCATTTGTCTTTTACCTCTGGTTTAGCTATTACTTATTCATTCTATTTCTTTCTTGTCTTGCATTTTCCCATAATTCCATGAAGTGGAATATTATCATGTTTAACACACCAGTATGTCTTTGAGTTTTTTTTTTGAGAAATTTTAACGAGGTTCTTAAATTAAAAAGAAATGTAATTGAGTCATTAATCTTTTATAATTTTTTAGTAGGGTACTAGTTTATGATACTTTGATCCCGTAATTTTCTTTTTGGTGGTTTACTAATTTCAGGGATTTAATTATAAAAATTGTAAAAAATTTAAGGACTTAGTTATAATTTATTTTTAGTTTAGATATTTAATTAAAAACTTTCAAATAGTTTTTAGACCCACCGATGTATTGAATCATATTACTATCTCGAACAATACCCTCTCAAGCAGTCGAATAGCACATAAAATGCATGACATTGTCAATCCCTCTCTCTTGCTTGCTTTAAAGTTTCTCTAGGAAAAAATGTGAGAAAGGAGACATTTAATACTATGTAAAATAAAGTCACGTTTAAATAAGTGCAATTACTAAACGTAACTCCCTTATTTCTAAATGCATCTCTAATATATATTTTTTTAAAAATAACTTCACTTACACATGTTTTTTCCCCCTTCTTTTCACTACTCCTTCAAATATTATTCTCTTCGCTCTTTTCACTTCTCACCGTTTTTTCCTGTCTCGTTGTTTGGCGACAATATTCATTTTCCTTTCCTCTTAATTTGATTTTTTGACTCTTCTTTAACGATGCTCTTCCTCTACAATGTTTATTTTCCGACCAGGTAACAAGTACCGAAGTACGTGTTTCTTAACATCCACCATTTTTGTTTTATTTCCGACAATATTCAATTAGGCTCGTCTTATTTTAACAATCTTAATAATTATTACATGCACCTTAAAGGTCCATGCCACTACGAGAAGAGTGACCATCATTTGCGACTTGGGGCTTTGGAGAACGACCGTAAGTTTGAGAGGAAAAACCTCATTGTATTAGTATAAAATGGTTGTGCAACAATTTGTCAAGATGGTCCTATTATTTTAATTAGTGGGGTTTTAAGGTTCATAAATAAGCAGAAGGGGCAGGTAGGGGTGCATATGCTTACAAAGTTTACATGAAATGGAAGAACAGAAAAAAACTTAATCTAATTTATTAGCGTCACAAATTATAAGATCAATGAAAGTTTTACAAAAATTAAAATATAGTAATATTAAAAAGAAAAGTCATAGCATGATTTATTAAATGTTTCACATTCACAAATAGTTTTGAGGTAGTCAATTATATTTATTTTAGCTATCCTAAATTATAATGTGACTCTACTTATTATGCTTGATATATTATATATTTTTGGAATGTACATATTGAATTATAAATAGACTTCAAAAAAATTTATAAACAGATAAATTGTATTCTAATTATTGAAAAGTCTATGGTGAATTGAAGAATCCAGACACAAACGTATTAGAACAAAGAAGGATGAAAATATGCACATCGATTTTGTCTTTCTTTGCATGCAGAAATCACACAAAAATATCCCATTCATAGTTAGCTATCAAAATGGGTTTTGGGGTTGCTTATTAATTATTTTGTTATTTTAATATGTTGACAAGACATATAATGGAGCAAGTTAAAACCCTGCACTCGTTTTATGATATCAAGTGATTAGAAATTGAATCTTAACTTTTAGGAATATAGAAAACTCAAATTGGGAGGTAATTTCCACCTACACAGTGTTGTCAATTTTTTCGAAAAAGATTAGTCTTTATATTCGACGAGGGAATACTGGTAATGAAAAAAAAAAAAAACTTTGAATATCTTGAAATAATTTGATAAAGTATTATATTTTTAAAATGATAAAACATTTTATGCCAACGAAAAAGTTAAAGATAATTATTAATTAAATATAATGTTTTGCAAACGTGAAATAAAAGATAAGACACATTCCTAAACTCTTCTTCTGGGGTCTTGTTTATACTCCAAGACGAAAAGAGGCCCAGAGAAGCACCAAACAATGGTTGTTCGGGTGGGCTCTGTGCGAGGCCTTCTTGACGTGCATTCAAAAGATAGCTGGGCTTTAATTTTAACAATTAATTTTTCATCTTCCCACTCCCAATTGTTTTTGTTTTATTTTAATTTTTTACTCAATCCCTTTGTTCACACCTCCCCCGTTCTCTCTTCTTCCTTGAATACACACCCATTCCCTCTTAATTTTTCTATATTTTTAATTTTTAAAGCAAACTAATATTTCTACTGAAATCTAAAATCAATTGAAAACCTCGCATCCTTTTTGGTTATAAACACATTGCTGTATTTGTGGAATTTTTTTGTTCAAGTTCATATAATAGCAATTATATCCATGCCACATTTTTTATGATTTGTAAATAATTATATAAAAGTAATTTCTCATAGAATTTTATGAAACATGTTGGTTTGAGCAA